AATGTATGCATACCTATCTGTCCGAGGTCAACCTTTTATCGTCTATAAAAATGCCCTGATCGGCCCCTGGGCGAGAAGCGTGTAATCCCTGTGTAATCCTTGTATCTGTTTTTAAAAAATTTTGTGTCTGGCTGTGTGGGTATTTACCTTAAAGCCAATAAAATAAAACAAAAGTGTTAAATGAAGAAAGACAGCATATTGAAGCACATAATTGGAAATAATTATTATAAGTTGTTGCAGCTGATTATTATAGTAAACCCAAAGAAAAAAAAGGAGTTCTGCTGGACGACAAATATCCTAAACATAATCGACTAGTAAATTTAATTAAAACGATTATTTTAAAAATAGAAAGCATGCAAGAATCAGAGAGATACAAAGTCAAAAAGGCTGTTTAAGTACGGCAGAAATGGCGAAACTATCATTCAAAAACAAATACCCATTTTAACATACATTTCAATATAACTTACAATTTATCTTTACTACATTAAATACCTTTTGTTTCATCTAAGAGGTGCATCCGTGAACCTGAAATAAGTTTTCCGCTACGGAGTACAAAAGACACTGATCTCCTTTGACACGTTATCTAATTGAGTTGCTGTAACAATTACAGAGTTTCTTGAAACTGGTTTCTTATAACAAGTTTTAAGGACTACGTTTCTGCTTTAATTTAACTTTGTGACAATTCACCGGAGACAAAATCAATGGCGAAATCTTTGATATTAATATATCTTAGGAAGCTATTGTTGCCTGTTGATATTAATATTCTTTGTGCTGGCATAATGATACAATTTATTTCTGGATAAATAAGTTAAAAAAATTAAAGCAGCTTAACTTTTCTTTATGTGTTTCTTTTCTTTAGCAAATATGCAACAAAGTAAAAAATCTGCTCGTAAATATGTACCAATTTACTCAAAAGTATATGTTAACTTTTTTTTTTAATAGGGATAACCCGCATCAACCACAGAAAGTTATTAGCGGTGGTACAATATAGGCTAAAATATAATATTATAATGATTAATATAAAATATAAACTATAAAGTTTTTACGAAGTTAATTTTAATTTAGAATTTTTCTGAAGTATCACTTATTTGATAATACAATTTCGTTATCTTTAAAAACCTAATGATTTTGTCACAATCCACACTGTCTAAAGCGCGCTTTATATCACTTGGTAGTCCAGTATCCTTGGTGTATCCAAATGCAGCCAAATGGGAGAGGCCTATATTCAACACATGAATAGATTTTAGGCTATAGATAAATAGATAGATAGTCCAGTAGCTTGTCTTTCCATTTGATATAATGAAGTCTATAACAATGTGGTCTACAGTTATATTGGTGTCACAGACGTAGCATATTTTAGAAGGTTTCTTCCTTAGTAGGTGTTCATGCGTCAATGTGGTCCTATTCGGATACGATGTAGTACAACCTGGTCCCTTAGCTTTACTAAAATTGGTGTTTTAGTTGATAGATCTGGGTTTGCTTACTGCAATTTATTATTTGGTAAGAGTTGCCATCTTCGTAACCATAAGTTTTTTGTGTATTCATTGATGCATTTTGTCATATCTGAGTGAGAAATTTAGTTTATTTCATTATTTTACAAGCTTCTTTGGCTATTTGATCAGCTATCTCATTTCCTTATATTCCTACATGAAATGGTATCCACAAAATATGTAGTAGTTGTTCTAAATGTACATGTACATTTTAGAATCTTCACAAAGGCAAGAGTTTCCTGCCGAAACGTTGATTGCTATGGAAACTAAAATCTAGTTCCACACGTAATATATCTTTATTGAACCTAAACCCAAGAAACACTAATTTTATATTATGTATATATATATATATATATATATATATATATACTTGGTTTCTTGCTTGTTCTTTTGCTGATTCCTCGTGTCTCGACTCTGGGATTGGGGTTACATTATCATCCGATGTCTTAATTGGCTTGCCCTTTGGTCTCTTGGTTTGTCCTTTGGCTTCCCATACTTTTTTAACTGGTCTTTCAAACCTCAAACCTAAGATCGGCCCAAACACCGACTTATATATGGTCACTTTGGCTTTTTGGTATACTTCTTTTTTCGACAAAAACGTACTTTTAATTGCGTGGTATATCCGAGAAACACTTTTTATTCTGAAACTTATTCCAGTTTCTTCAGTTCCTCTGTTTTCTATTTGTACTATTAAGTATTTGTAAGTATCGACTTGTTCAAGTGTATTTCTATTAAGTGTAATCTTTGTTTGTTTTCCATTTTTTCCACATACCATTAATTTCGTCTTCTCATTATTGATCCTCAAATTTCGTTTAGTTAGTGCAGCGTTCCAAACTTGTAAATTTCGATTGAGTGCTTCTTTATGTATCCCAAATACTACTAGATCGTCTGCATATGCACACTCTGAGATCCACACTGCTTCTAGATTTTTATGTCCGGCATATAATTTAAATATTTCTGCTATAGTTTTTTTAATTATGTAATCCAAGACAATGTTAAACAGTATGGGGCCTAGGATTCCTCCTTGACGTAGACTCTCATTTACTATGAACTCTTCGGATTGGATATTATCTAGTATTATGACGTTTTTCTAGTATTCTCTCATATAATTTGGATGGGATGTTTAGTAGTGTTATTTCTCTGTAGTTACTATATTCGCGTCTATCTCCATTTTTAAAAATGGGTAGAATAACTCCCACTTCCAAATCTTTTAATATTTAGCTCTCACTATATGCCCTATTATATACTTTTGTTAGCAATTTATTGCCTTTGTCGTCCATGTTTTTACACATTTCTGCTGTGATTTTATCAAATTCAGCCGCCTTACCTTTCTTAAGCTTTAGTATGATTTCTTTTGTTTCTGCTAAAGTTATTTCATCTTGAATTTAGTCTTTTTGCTCTACCTCTTCTGGTTATTCTGTGATAATGTCTACATCGTTTTGGATATTTAGTAGGTCCCCGAAATATTGCTTCCACCTATCTAGGATGTTGTCTTTGTCATGCAATAAGTATCCTTCTTTGTCCCTTATTTTCTTTGGTGTTTGTGAAGCCTTTTCGGTTTTTAAATTCTTTAGGGTTTTAAAAAATAATTTTTCGTTAGAGTGGTAGTCTCTTTTTATCTTGTTTCTGAATTCTTCCCAACTTTTCCGTTTTGCTGCTAGTACCATATCTTTGATTATTTGCAGTTTGTATATTTGGTAGTTGTCTGCGGTTCCGTTCCTTAAATATTTTTTCCAATCTATCTTCTCGGACTTCACTTCTGCTTTTGTTTACTTATTTACCACCGTTTAGGAGTGCTTCTTTCAGTATTTGCCAGTTTTGGTCTAAGTCACAGTCATGTTCAGCGTGCTCGGTTAGGTAGTTCTTAACGTAGTTTTTAAACTTGTTTGCTGCCTCCTTGTCTGCTAGCTTACGTGACCTGATTACTTCTATAGTAGGTGTTTCATGAGCTTTACTTGTTTTCTTGGTCTCTTTGGTTATTGATTCTTGTCGCACTTCCAATCTGGTCCTTGCTACAACTAGACAGTGGTCACTAGATATTTCATCTCCTCGTTTTACTTTTACGTATTTAATACATTGCCTCGATAATCTATTTACTAACACATAGTCTATGATAAATATTTCGCCTCTACTTCTGACTTCTCTTGTATATTTATGTACATTTAATGGTTAAAAAATGTGTTCATTATTATTAAATTATTTTCTATGCATATATCAATAATGAGTTTCCCATTGTCATTTTTTATTTCTTTTCCATATAATCCTAATACTCTTATGCATGTTCATTTCTTACACCCACTCGACCATTAAGATCCCCTTCTTCTTAACGTGCCCTATCAAGTCCCCTTGACGTTGGCGATTAATATGACGAAACTGTATCTGTCTCGAGCTATTCTAAAGAGTTGCTCAGCTTTCCTTATTCCTGTCCACTCCCTGATATTCTTCAACCAAGAGACCTGCTGTCTACCAATGCCTCTGCGTCCTTCGATTTTACCCATCATAATAAGTTGAAGAATATTATATCGGTCTCCTCTTACTACGTGTCCAAAATAGGCCATCTTTCTACATTTGATGTTATCAAGCAGTTCGCGAGCAGCATTTGTTCTCTCAAGGACTGCCACATTTGTCAGCATAGCCGTCCATGGAATTTTTAGTATACGTCTGTGCAGCCACATTTCAAAGGCCTCCAGACGATTAATGGTGGATATTTTTAATGTCCATGCTTCGACACCGTATAAGAGGACTGACCAAATGTAGCATTTAACCATGCGCTTTCGAAGTTAAAGTTTCAAGTTGTCATTACAGAAGAATGACTTCATTTTTAAAAATGTCGTGCGGGCTATCTCGATTCTACATTTTATCTCTTGATCTGGATCTAGTTGTTCTAGTCTAGTTCTAGTCTAGTTAAGATCCCCTAGTACTATAGTATTGCCTTCTAAACTGTCTATTATTTCTGAGGCCTTATTTCAGAATAGGTCTTTGCTGACTGCTCTTGCGTCATCATTTATTCCATACATAATGATGATATTGAGTAGTTTGTGTTCCGCAGTTACCAGTCTTATCTTTAGAATTCTTTCGGGAGTACATTTCCAATCTTGAATATTATTTATTAGGTTACTGTGTATCAGGCAGCCTACCCCTTTTTTGCCCTTTCGCCAAGTGACACTCCACTGGTGATGAGGAAGTGTCCATTTTCTAAAAACTGTCTGTTTTTCCCTTCTTTTTGGTCTCTGTTATACCCAGTAAGTCTATTTGATTTTTCTCAAATTCTTCAGCAAGTTTGACTTCTTTGCCGTTGAGACCTCTGACATTTCATGTTGCTAATGTTCATCCTTTGGGCTTTAGCAGTGCTCCGTTATTGTGGGCCGTGTCATTTAGCTATTTCTTGATTAATGTGAGTTTTAAATAGTTACTGTTTATGTTCTCGCTCGCTGCTGACTGCGTTTTTATGGGCTTGCCCTTTCTTGTCTCTCATACTGAAGTAGCCATGTTAATTGTACATCAGCGTTGGAATGCGTAATTGGAGATCAGCGTTTATAATGATAAAGTCTCTTTTCAGAAGTCATGATTTGGTAGCAAGTGGTACAAACACAAACTCGAAAATTACAGACCAATAAGCCTGTTACCACATCCATACAAACTGCTTACCAAAATAATTACCAACAGACTATCAAACAAATTTGATAGTTACCAGCCTGTTGAACAAGCGGGTTTCCGCAAAGGTTATAGTACAATAGAACACCTACAGACAATAAGGACACTTATTGAAAAATGTAACGAATACAATGAACCTCTTCATTTGGCATTTGTGGATTACAATAAGGCATTCGATTCCATAGAATTCTGGGCGGTATTAGACGGAATGAACAACGCAAGGATAGATTCCAGATATAGAATGCTCCTAAAATACATATACGACAATGCAACTATGCAAATAAATGTAGCAGAAGGCCTAACAACAAACAAAATAAGATCAGAAAGAGGTGTTCGACAGGGAGACACCATATCTCCAAAATTATTTACTCTTGCATTAGAAGATGTGTTCAAGAAGTTAAATTGGGAACAACTCGGAATTAAAATTGATGGCAGGTTTTTAAGCCACCTAAGATTTGCCGATGACATAGTACTCATAAGCAACAATACAGAGGAACTAATCTACATGCTGAAGGAGCTTAAACAAGAATCTGAAAAAATCGGTTTAAAAATGAATTTAAATAAAACAAAAGTAATGACAAATCAAAATATCACAATCGACTTAGATGGAAGTGAGATCGAAAGTGTCGAAGAGTATATATACCTAGGTCACACCATCAAACTAGGCAAACAGAATCAAACAGCAGAGATAACTAGAAGAATCCGAATGACTTGGGCAGCAGTAGGCAGACTCAGTGATGTGTTGAAGAACAAAAAGATACCAATAAATCTAAAGAAAAGGGTATTCAACAGTTGTATTCTACCGGTTATGACTTATGGAATGGAGACCATGACACTTACAGAGTTGTCAGCCAACAGATTAAGAACAACACAGAGGGCCATCGAACGAGCTATGTTGGGAGTATCACTGAGAGAACATATACGAAACGAGGACATACGAAGCAGGACGAAGGTGGAAGATGTAATTGGAAGAATTGCACAAATGAAATGGAACTGGGTAGGGCACGTGGCACGGCAAAACAACGACAGATGGACGAAAAACATTGTACATTGGAGACCACGCGAACACAGTCGGAGTAGAGGAAGACCACAAAAACGATGGCTAGACGACATCAAAGCAAAAATGGGGAGAAACTGGCACCAAATAGCACAAAACAGGGAAGAGTGGAGAACTCATGGGGAGGCCTTTGTCCAGGAGTGGATGCAAACAGGCTGAAGAAGGTACTTGCTACCAAAATATCTCTCATTAGATGCTTTGTATTTTCTACCTTATTATACGGAGTAGAGGCCTGGACACTTTCCAAAGCTTCCTTAAGAAAACTCGAGGCATTAGAGATGTGGTGTTACAAACATATCTTAAGAATTTCATGGGTAGATCGTGTGACTCATGTTGACTAACGTAGAATAGGCAAGGAATGCGAGATTATTAACACCATCAAAGAGCGCAAACTAGAATATCTTGGCCATATTATGAGGAATGAACGGAGATACGGCTTATTGCAACTCATTCTTCAGGGCAAGGTATTTGGAAAGAGAGTACCAGGGAGAAGAAGAATATCTTGGTTTCAAAACTTGAGAATGTGGTTTAATACATCGACAACCGGACTATTCAGAATAGCAGCAAGCAAAATTAGGATAGCCATGTTGATCGCCAACATCCGGAACGGAGAGGCACCGTAAGAAGAAGAAGATACTGAAGTACTTAATATAACAAAGATAAATATGTTAGGGGACCATTTTAACCAAAGAGGCCATTTTAACCGATTTTACCCTAGATATATATTAAAATTTGATTTACTACTGCTAATTCTTAATTTCTTAGAATAACTTCATTTTTATTGCTATAAATTAACTATTAATTATTACAACTTAAGCAGTTATTTATAGCAACTAAATTTATACATTTAAAGATTAATAATTATAATAGCACCAAATTAAAAAAAATCATCTTAACCAATTTTTCATCAAACATTCTTAACATTTTTGTTCAGGAGAATTTGCGATCATTAAAGATGCCTCCTTCCGGGTTTAAGAAAAGGATTTACGCGTAGCAAACTAGTTTTCCCGTTCGGCGAACATTAGCGAGCGAAGTAAGCGATAAAATTTTTAGTTTTTCGTTTTCCTTGGCAAAATCGATCGGTTATTATCTAATTTACGACTTCGATAACGTTAAAGATGCGACTAAGGGTTGTTTCTTTTCATGAAGACCGGTCGGTTATATAAATCAATTAAAATCTTGAAAAGGAAGGGGTATAAAGATAATAGGAACACAAAAGTAATGTTCTTAACTTTTTCAATGCATCATTGAAAAGAAAACTTTAGTTAGCCCTAGACTCCAGCACAGATCAGAGGTAATGTAAGTCAACATAATTTCACCAGCTACTGAGGAACATGTTAAATGCCACCAGTTGCAGATTTTATTAATTATCGAAGTTAATGGTCTATTGCATTTACCTTTGTAAATTCCACGAGGATTTTTTATTACTGATGCCCGTCTAGTGTTTTTCTGTGGTCAAACAATGTTTTTGACAACTTTTTATTAAACTGGCGATGGAATGATCTAATTCCGAAAAGATCTACTTAAAAATAAAGTTTTAAGCTTTTAATAAACATTTTTTATACCTTGATACACACGAACACCACGTGCTTTGAAAACTTTTATAATATTTATTTTTTGAGTCCTACTTAATTAATATTAACCCGTTGACTACTACCATTGCATATTTGTGATATTTTATTCTTCTTCGGTCTTCCATAATAGTTAGGTCAGTGGGCAGTCCCATTGTTCTTAGATCTGACCATATATTGTCTCTCCATTGCATTCGTGAACGTCCTAAGGGAGTTCTTCCTGTGGGGGCTTCCTTTCATATTAACTTGGCAAGGCGGTGATTAGGGAATCTATTGATATGGCCAGCCCATCTTAGACATTGGGATTTAATCTCTTGGACAATGGCGCTCGCTCTATATATCTGCTTGATCACAGCATTTGTTTTTATTTAGTACTGGTTGCTATTAATGTCACGATAAAGCCCAAGGATTGTTCAAAGATGATTTTCCTCTCAAAACATCTAAGTTTGCTTTCAGTTTCTTTGGTCAGGATCTACGTCTCACATCCATATCTGAGCACCGGTCTAACCACCGTTTTATATATTGCAATCTTGTTTGTTTGTGTTAGGCTTTTAGATTTAATAGTATTGTGAAGGCTGTACCGGGTGGTCCAATAAGCCGATCTCTCGGATATATATCAGAAACTATTCATGTTATAACTTTAGGAGAAAAAATTTCTGTAAAAGTGGTCAAGAGAAATCGATGGAAATAACTTTCAAGTGTCTGGGTTAACCGCTAAAGGGCGTAACCTGTGAATAAAAACTTGAAAACCAGTTTTTTGTGAAATATGCCCAAATATACCAAGTGTTAAAAAAGTAAACTAGAAAAAAGCCTAAATTCCGCACAAAATTGTTCAAGTACTTTTTTTTTATTTTTTCAAATAAAGGGTGGGGGAGAGTGGGAAAGAATTTGTGGATAAATACCTATAACTTTGGTTTGGATCAACCAATTTTAACAAAATTAGTGTCATTAGAAAGAATATAGATGATTTAATTTATATCTACTATAAAACAATTGAATTTAGTTTTAATTGTCATGTGTAGAGGGTACTTTTGAGTAGAAAAAGGTAACATTTATTTTTCTTCAAAATATTTAATGGATACACCTATTTATTGTAAATTATAATGGAACTGGAATAAATTCATAACAAAACGGTGCAAATCGTATGTTGATAGTTTTTGTAGAACTCGAGATATGAATAAAAACGCATAAACATAAATAAGTATAGTATTGACTCACCTTTTATTATAACTAAAATTAAATATGTGAAAGATCATACAAACATCTCGATCATTAAAACTTAATGTCCAATTAAATGTTCAAATTGTTTTCCATCATTGTCCACACAAAGATGTAATCTTTCACGCGTAGACATAACAGCTGCTTCAATCTCAGCTGTTGATATACTATTTATTGCGTTTATAATGCGCTGTTTCATCTCGACTCGCGTGGTTGGTCAAGTTTGGTACACTAAGTCCTTTAATCTTCCCCACATATAAAAGTCCAAATATGTTAAGTCTAGAGATTCCCCTTCCAATCCATTTATTTGGAAAACTTACATACAAATAATCTCGAACTCGCCTGGAAAAGTGCGCAGGACAACCGTCATGTTATCATATCTCTTCTTGTTTGTAAGGAAATATCTTCCAATAAAACAGGCAACTGATTTTTCAGAAAATCCAAATATTTTTCGCCATTTTTCGGCCAAGTTATATCAAAGAAACACCACCCGCACTATGAAACGTAGCCTCGTCTGTTAACAAAATCTTTTGACATGATACGCGATTGTTCTTCTAGCAGACCTAACATCCAATTGCAGTAATCCAGCCTTTAATCAAAATCTCTCTCATGTAAAGCTTGGTGGAAAACTACATGATAAGGATGCAGTCTAAAAATCAGAACAACAAATATTGGTGAAAAAGAAACCACTATATTTACTAAAACTCAAAAATCTTGAAAAACCTACAATTGTTTCACAAGATAAATCGTGTATAAGTATTTTTAAAAAACGGATAAAAGGATAAAAGCACCGTGTTGCCGTTTTTATCGGAATATTAAAATAACAGTTTAATCTAAAGTTTAAAGGGAATTTCAAGTTTCTGACATAAACGTTCACTTTATAATATGAAAAACCAACCTGTGATGTTTTAAAATCCTTAGAACAGTAGTTTTGGGTATGTTTAATTCTATAGAGATTTGCCGACTACTTTGGATTATATTTGGATTCTGTTGAATTAAAGCAAGAACATTGATTGAGTTCTCTTCGGCCATACCTCTACTACATCGTTTAAAACAAGGACGATGAAAACTACTAGTTTCTCTTAATCTTCTTACCTTTCTTTTAAATACTTCTTTGCCCTAATGTCTCCTGTCAGGATATCTTACAGAATATATACGTGAGGCAATAGCGGCATTTTGGTGACATTCGAAATAAACTCCAATCATATCGTACAATTCTGCATTTGATATACTCATCACGGATTATAAGTACTCATAATTAATTACTAATATTACCAATATTAATATCTATTCAAAAAAGTGCAATCTTCAATTCGGATTATAATATATCACTTTCGAAAAAACTATTTTTAATCATATAAAATAACAATGGTCAAAATAGGTATCAACATTAAGATTCTTTTGCTACAAAAAATTTTTGAAAGTACCTACTGACTTATTTTTTAATTTAATTTATAATACAGGGTGAGTCAATACTATACTTACTTATGTTTATGCGTTTCTATTCATATCTTGAGTTCGACAAAAGCTATTAACATGCGGTTTGCGCCATTTTGTTAGGAATTTAATCCAGTTCCATTATAGTTTACAATAAATAGGTGTTTCCGACATTTTAAAGAAAAACGAATTTTAATTTTTTCTATTCGAAAGTACCCTCTACCTATGACAATTAAAACTAAATGCAATTATTTTATAGTAGATGTAAATTAACTTATCTACACTCTTTCTAATGACACTAATTTCGTTAAAATCCACAAATACTTCCCCACTCTCCCCCACCCTTTATTTGAAAAAATAAAAAAAAAAAGTTGAACAACTTTGTAAAGAATTAAGTCCTCTTTCTAGTTTACTTATTTAACACTTAGTATAATTGGGCATATTTCTCAAAAAACTGGTTTTCAAAGTTTTCTTCACAGGTTACGCCCCCTAGCGGTTAATCCAATAACTTGAAAGTTATTTCCAGCGATTTCTCTTGGCCACTTTTACTAAGAAATTTTTTCTCCTAAAGTTATAACATGAATAGTTTCTGATATATAGCCGAGAGATCGGCTTATTGGACCACCCGGTACATACACCTGTTTGCTGCCTGAATTCTTCCTTTCATCTCTTCCGCGATATCCTTATCTGCAGTGATTGTTGCTCCGAGATATTTAACACTCTCCATTATAACATTTTGCCCTATTATATCTCGTCCCCTTTGTTTGTTGTTGCACATGCATTTGAGGTTCTTTTCGTTTATCCTTAAACCAGTGTTCTTTGCCTTTACCTCCAATTTATTACAAGTCCAATTTTGGTCCACTGTCAGTAATTCTGTTAAGTTTTGGTGCTCTTACTACTTTTTCCAGGATGATATTAAAAAGGAAAGGTGACAGCGTATCTCCTGATAAAATTTAATTCGTGTACGAGATATGCGTAAAACGCGTAAATGCGACAGTGCTAAGCGATTTGCTGCGGCATATAGACAAAATATATAATGCTATTACATGTTTTCTAGTTGGAAGGGCGTGAACTGCCTACGTTAACTTCCTCGGGATAGGTGGAAGGAACTAAGGTGTCTGGAGCGAGATGGGTGGGAGGAACTGAGCAGTCATTCAGTATTGCAACTGCGTTATTACAGTTAACCCTGCAAAGTATACGTTCGGCCTATCAGGTCTATGACGTTTTATTTTTCGCGATAAATGCACCAGTTTATCTATACAATTTTTATGTTCAGTGTACCTTCCAAACTATGTAAGCAGTATAGATTTTTGTCTCAGTTAAAATTATTAGTTACTTAAGAGTTCTAATAAACTACCACGTATTTTATGTTTTAAAACGTTTAAATA